AAATAAAAATCACTCATATTACTGAGGTGAATTTTATCTTATGATAATATGAAATTAATTTAAAAAATGAAGGCTAGGATTGGGCTTGTATAGTAACCAAGGGTTCAACTGTAATTTCTGAAAATATTATTTTTGCTTTGATCATTGGGAAAATAGGCTTACTTTAGATTTCTAATCTTCTCTTCCATTGTTTACTTCTCTTTTCAAACTTAAATGGGTAGCCTAAGTATGGAACATTAAATTTTTCTTTAAATTTTTCTTTGGCTTCACTAAAGATAGTGGAAATCATTCACTTTCAATAAACTGATTTTTCCTAACTGAAACTTTTACTGAACTCAATAAAAAACAGGATCTAGAAGAAGGATATGACTAAAGTATGAATCAGACACTGCAGTTTCACAAGTAAAATCTCAGATAAAAAGTGTTTTCATTTAGTGATGCAGTTGATCCAACTGAATGGTTCATTTAACGAGATAAATTAATCTAGCATCTTTGAAAAAGAAAAGCACCTACTTTTTTCACAATAGCTGTTGATGTTTTTCACACAAGTATTTTTTACATCCAACTAAACAAAATACCAAGTAATTGCTTTCCTGTAAAGCACAATTTTTTAAGTAGCTTAGTCTGTTTATTATGTACCTTCCGGGAGGACTGACTCAAGAATGGAAAACTTAAAAGATCTAAAAAACTCGATGTTGCAGATGCTGCATGTAGCAGCACAAGACTACCCTGATAGGCCCAGTTCTTGTCTGCCCATACTTATGCAAGAAGCTTTTAAGTCCTTCCAGAGGTCTGAATATGATGGGTACTCACAGTTGTAGCATCCTTCTCCTTGGGATAAAGAAGACTTGAACCACAGTTTTCCTTTATCTGAGAATGAAGGGATGAAATGATGCTGCACAGAGTTGATCAGGCCTTTTACTTTGGTAAAGAAATCTAAGCAGTCTTATTCTTTCCATTTTTTCATTATGGGCTTCTTAATTTATCTCTGTTCTCCCAGCTAGGGTTCATTTCTTGAAGGGGATAGCAATTTTCCCTTTTTTCCCCATAGTGACCTTGTTTGGAGATTGTGGATCAGCACAATTCCTTTTCCTGGGAAAGAAAATGGATGGAAGCAGCAACTCCTGCTTTTTCTGGTAGCTGATGTTCTTACCTTGCTGCTCTTACCTTACCTCTGCCACACCATTGGCAGGTGTTTGCCAGGCTGTGCACTGTTTTAATAGGTATGTGAAGGAGGCAACAACATGGATTTATGTTGTGTGGAGATACATACTAACATAAATACAGCACAGAAAAAAAATTAGAAGTGCTGGACATGGTTTGACAATGGTGGTAACTGGGAGAAGAAAAATGGTGGGTGAACACTGAGGTATGGCTATCACAGGAGCAGTCATGCCAACACACGGGGGTAGACAGCCCAGACAACACTGATGCACAGTCATTAAAATGCAGAGCCAGTACACCCCAATGAGCCCATTCTCCTGTCCATTGCAGTGCACCTTCATAGCTTTTGTTTTACATAAATTGAGGGTGATTAGGATATGCTGAGATCTCATGTTTTTGTTTTGCTGTTTATAGGCAAGGTATGATTCAGATGGCTCTGAAGTGACAGATGGGAAAAGAAGTGGTGGATTCAAGGGTAACACAAAGGCAGGGAGCTGGAAGGACTCCAGCATTTTCAGTGAATTTTGAGGTGAGATGGGAACAGAACTAAACTGGAACTAAACTCACTGTGGACAGAAATGAAAGGCAGCAAGTGATAAAGATGTAAAGTGATCATCAAAGAGTAAAGAGAGATGATCCTAAGGTAATGATGAAGAGCAGTGGAGTTGTGAAGTAAGACTTCACATCAAGTGCTGAGCCACAAATGAGGAGATATTTTCAGATCAGATATAGACTTCTATGTTCAAAAGAGTTTTGCATGGCGCAGCTTTTATCCTTTGTATAAGCCTGTATACTTCAGCTGTGCTCTCTCAGCTGAAATATCTTTGTGGTATCAGGGAGATTAACACATAAAGTAAAAGACACACCAAAAAACCCAAATTTTCTCTGTAGGACAGTGTTCTGTGAAGTATTAATTATGTCCTTTGGAGCTGGACATAAACAGAATGCTTTTATTTGATGGTTAAAGAATTTATCTGTCCTAAAAATGTTTGCAAATTTGGGAATAGGTATGAGCAAAAGTCCTTTATATTCTTCTTCTAATTATACTACCTTTCTGTGTTTCTTTTCTTTGTCTAATTTTTTGAGGGGTGTGGGAGTGTGTGGGGGCTAACAATTTCTCTTTAACAAGAAATCTTCCTACTTTCTCTTATTCCCTTTGACTGGCTACATTGTTGATAGGTTCAAGAGAATATCTCCAGCATAAAAGTTGAGAAAAATTGAAGGATGAGGTGCAAACATTTATCAGAGTCTTTTTTTTTTTTCCAAGCTGCTTTTTTAAGAATTGTGAAGATAGAAAAAGTTTAAATGAGGATGATTTACAATATGAACTTCCTGAGTTTTTAAAATGATGCTGCAGAGAGTTCCTGACAAATTGCAAAGACCATCTTTCCTGGAGCAGAGAAAAAAGATTTGGTGTGGCTGCTCAACTATCATGCAAAAAGAAAAGTATATCCATAATACTGTATCCATGGAGAGGAAAAAAAAAAAACAGACCACAAAAATACAAACAATATTTCAATGCACTATGATGAGAAAATCTCATTTTAAATAAGTATGTAAGAAATAACCATATTGTAAACATAGCTGTAGATCACACTCACTGCACCAGTCAAAACAAAATTATTGAGAAAATATAATTCTTAGTTGTAGTTTAAGGCAAACATGAGGTAAATTGCATGAAGCTAGGATTGGTAGCTCAGATAATCCTCAGTAATTTACTGTTTTATACAATATTAACACATACAACTGTGCAAATTTAACCCAAACGTCCTTTCCATAAAATTTAAAGCTTGTTTGAACTTCCTTCTGGTTTTAAACAAGTGGATTTATAATAATGAAAAATACTGATAAGAAATGAAAACTATTTACTCCCAGCAGCAACCCCTTTTTTAAATATTTTGAGTTTCATAGATCACATTAAAATATTCTACTATTGTGTGATAAGAAGCAAATATTATCTTTACTGTTTGCGGTATACTGGACTAGGCTATTATTCACACTCACTATAGAAAGAATTCAATTACTGGAAATGAAATATTTTAATTATAGTATTTTATCTGTGTTTGAATTCATTTTTGTTTATATTTGAATAGATATAATTTGACCCTGTTACTCCAGTACGCATGTATTTTTTACTTACAGTAGTTTTTCTGGTTTAGGGTATACGTAGCTATTAGCACTATGTTTCTAAAGGACTTTCCAGGATCAAGCATTAACATTCTCACTTTGCTTGACTTGTTCTGTTTACACAGCATTTTATGTTTCTCCCTCCTTTTTCTGGGGTAAAATTAGATATTTTTAAAAGAAAAGAAGGATGCCCATGCAAGATAATTATTAATATCCATGTCTTCTCCAGTTCAGTTCTTTCAGTTAACACTTCACCGGAAAAATCCTAATTTTATTGTGTACTTGTCTAGGAGGGACTAGACAAACACCATGTTACAGTGGGATTGAGGAACTTAGATATAATTATACAGCAACTTCAAAAAATAAGTTCAGTATTTTTATGTGTGAACAATATAATTCATTCAAAACTAAACTCATATTTAGATTTTTCCTTATTTTATACACTATCTCCAATATTAAATATCTATAAATATACACACAAGTGTCTGCATGTATATGCATTTCTATTAGCAAGCCTTTAATTCTACTTTTATTTTATAAAAGATGCATGGGTGCATCCATTTTAATCATGGACGTGGCAAATATTTTAACATGTATTTAAAAAAGGGATGATGAACTAGGACTTGGAAAGGTTAAGGAATAAAACAGTGATAAATCATATGAACTTGTGAAGAGATACTGATCTGGAAATGAACTATTAGTGCATGCTGCAAACCCATGTAACTGAGGGATGACTCAATGACTGCAGAAGAAAGAGGACTGTTTTTCAGCTAATATGTGAAAACAAATTATTCAAGGTAAAAAAAAAGGTTGTAAAATACCTTGTAAATATAAAAGTAGTCAAATACATGAAACCCTTCTTCTCATGTCACTATTATGTCATAGTTTTAGAAATCAGATTTTCTGTATTTTAATTATGCAAATATATATTTAAATAGCTCATATAGATAACCTTACTTTTTTATGTCAGTCTTTTAGGTTTTCTTTTTTCCCCATGTACTTATAGTTTCGGAACATATTTGGAATTCTTTACAATTTTTCTAGTAAATCTAGCAACATTTTTAAGCAGAAAAACCTAACAACCATGAGTGACGCAAGATAATTCAGAAGGAGCTGAGCTTTGTTTTGGAAGGGAACTTGAAAGATAGACTTTAAATAGATAATGATACTATGATTTTATGCATGGCTATTGAGTTCTTAGATGAGGAGGCTTTCAACTTTACATACTAGTGGCTCTTCAAACTATAGTAATTCTATAAAAACGTAACCTCTCAATTTTGATTTTGGTGTTGGTTACTAATACTGACAGCTTGAATTACAGACATAACTTCGTCTTGCATAAGGAAATCGTTTGTGTCTGTATTTCTAAAGTTTGAACCCAACCATAAGATTTGTGTAACTGACAAAAATCTGCTACTCTACTGTACTGAAGCAAACTTCCTAATAAATGCTGTGGAAATAAATTAGTTAAGAGTACAGAATGGAATACATAGATTATCACAAACCTTTTAACTGAAATTAGGTGATCAACCTATTATGAATTCATTCAAGTCTCTAAAAATTAACGTATTCTGTTCAGTAATTGAGGGAGGAGAGACAGTTTTTTCTCTGCTCTATCTGTGTTTCAACTTCCTAGAAACTACATTTTGAGCTTAATCTCCTGAGGATTGGTAAATTAGGTAAAAGAAAACATTGCATTAAACTCAAGGTACGAAATTATTACACATTATTTTATGTATTTTTATATAAAAGTTACAAGTAGCAAGCATATGACACAGAAATGGAACAGTAACAGCAATAACTGTGAATGCATGCTTTTTACAATGTATCTAATAAAGGGATTTTTGCCAACTCAAATATTCAGTAACATACATGCAGATTAATTTCTCAATGTCAAATTCAGTCATATTGCTAGATGCTTATCCAACAAACGTTTCTATTGAAGTGATTATGAATGGCTAAATACCTGATTTCAATAAATTGTTCCTGAAATTGGGAATTTTACTTGCAACAAAAAGAAGAGAGAAAAACAAAAAGATAAATGACTGATAAGCATAATAACCAAAGTCTTATTGCCTTCTAGTAATTTTACTCAACACTGCTGAATTTTTTCATGATAAGAGAATAGCTGGTCAGAGTCCATAAAACCTCTAGCTGGTGTTTCCAAGGACGATAGTTTCACATTTCACTGTAGCATGTTCAAAATCACCCAGGAGCGCACTATTCTCAAGCAGTCTATATAATGAAAACAACGTACATATAACAAAAATTCAATGTAAATCTTCTTCAACATATCACACAACATAGAAGTAAATAACAGACATAGAGTAACTTAAAGAAAACTATGACTTAAAATAAATAAATAAATAAATAAACAAATAAAGGACAATCTCAGGAACTAATTTCTTCCTAAAGTTTCCAGCAAATCTTCAAATATATTTAATAACTAAGGAGCACTTTGTGGCCAGAAACCAGATTAAAAAAGAAATGTATTTTTGTGCAATGGGAATATCTTGCTAAGGAGGTAAGATATGTCTATACCTCTTAGGTTTGCATAAAGGCAATTAAATTAAATTGGAAGATTGTCCACTCCCTCTTTCAGAGAGATGAGATAGTTCATTATAGATTTTTCCATTCAGAGTTTGCATTACTGCATGAATAGTTTTCTGAAATCAAAACTAAGTTAAAATATGCTCTCTCTGAAGAAAAAAAAATGCAGAAAAATATTTACTTAAGCCATCTACAGGCAATAAAACCATTAACGGATTATTTCACTATAAAATTTCTTTATACATATATACACATAAAAATGTATATACACATATCTATGTTTATATATACACATATATAAACTGACAGAGTAGCAGTTATCCATAGCTCCATTATAAACATCTGAAATTATGTTTATTAAGTGCTGATAAAAATTATGCAAAATGAAAGTCTAAGAAAATACTCCAGAAAGTAAGTTTAATTTGAAACATTAACCTTAGTGCTACAGAACCTCTAAATTTATCAATACTAACAACACACTCTTCCCCCAACACTTCACAAGATTGGATGAAAAAAAAATTAACTGAAAACAAATAGTTCCACATCTTACTGACTTGAATTAAATGGCCAAGTTTTACATTCTATTTCACATGCTGAGGCTCTAACATTTATTTCCATAAATATTAATTAAGAAAGAAATAAATGAAATGCAAAAGCCATGCAAAGCACATGACTATTATGCAGCTGGAATTAAGATAGTTCTTACTAAGGGCTGACTGCAATTCTGTCAAAACAAGGAATGAACAGATTTTGTTTAGTTTGCAATGCTGACGTGGTCATCTGGCTTCCAGTTTTTTTAAGATTCAAACCTGTTTCCATACAAGAGGACATAAAATTTGAGACCTAATATGCATTTTAGCAATGTAACAAATAAAATGGAAAGCAACAGATGGTTCAATTGCTGTATAGATACATTTACTTACCTCAGGCTTTTCTCTTAGACCCTAGTTGTGTTGTACTCAGACTCATGTTTGCTTAGAGACCCAATGAGGCAGAACCTGGAATGTTACGGCTATTTCATTCAAAATAATAGTGTTTGCATAGAAGAAAATAAATATATGCATATAGATACTTTATAAACAGTACACTTTGATAATCTGATAGTTACTCATGAAGTAATAGACATAGACATGCAATTGGATTAAAACAACCAAAAACCTGTCTTTTTTTTAAGATAAAGAAATTCCTTAATGTGCAAAGAAAATATGGAGGACATGTAAACTATAAGAAGAAATGCATAAATAATGCATGCAAGAGAAAACACAAATATATTAAAAAAGGGTTATGTATTCTTTTTCAAATAAGTTGTTCATAATTTTTTTGTTTTCTTTTTCTTTTACTTGTAAACTTTTAATCATTCATATTTACATTGATTCAAAGTGCAATATATAGAAGAAATAGCTTTTTATTAAAAATATTATGCTTGATTTTTCTTTTTTATTGAATAGAAATATTCCCTTTAATTCATTTTTTATATGTAAATATATATGTGTTCATTATGTGGTCTCATGTTCTAATCTGTCTATCCATGTTTATTTGACAAACCAAAATACTGTGATCAATAATGGAACAGATACAGTTAAGTTTTGGAAATACTGTCATTCATTACAGAAAAGGTAATGTGCCATGAGGAAAGGGATTTCCTTGCCCCAGGACTATGTTCCTCATTCTTGTGTCATGCCTCAAAATGGATACATGTATCTTATATTTATTGATGAATTTATTTAGAGATGGTTAGACTAACAGTGGGTGATATTCAAGGCCACTTCAGTTACAAGGAAATGTAATGTGGCTGTTCCAAAAATCTAAATTCACAGTCTTCTTTGGTTTTTAAAAATTGTACCTGTTCTCTGTTGACCTGTGTGTGTATGCATAGGGGTAGATGTAAAACAGTAAAAGAAAAAGAAAGTAGAAAGGTAAAACAGAGATACAGGATCCTTCAGGAAAGAGGAGCAGAGATGAGAAAGAGAGACAGAAATAGATAATATAATGGCATGTGCTATCAGGAAACAGAAATTTAAACAATAAATAAAGAAGAAAAAAAATATGTCTTTAATGATCAAGGGGTGAATATGTTTGGGCAATCAAGTCCTTACACAATAGTTAGTCTTCATCAAAAATCTATTGATACTGACCGCTGAACAGCTTTGTCATGTCTGGACAGCCTGTGACTTGTGGTTGGCACCTCTTCAATTTCGTCTATCTCGCACGCATCAGCAGCATCTTGTGAGTAGCTATGCTTCATGACAAGGATGTTTCTCCTGTTCATGGGCTGAACAAGTGGTTTTACAGGCTGGGGTTGTATTTCTGTCAAGACAGAAGGATCTCTTGTGCTGAGGTTACTACGGCTGCCCTTAAGACTAGACACTTGTGATCCACAGTGATGGTCATGAATGCATTTTGAAGAGGATCTCCGCAGTTTATGATAATTTTCAAAGTCATCTGCAACGTCAGCAAGGTCAGCTGTAGTCCCTGTCCCTCTAAGGGTGCATAACTCATAATGAGGAGGCTCAAACACCTCCTGGAACACTGTTTGATCAAAGTCTGCTTTCCTTTGGACAAATTTTTTACGAGGCTGCTTGATCTGTACTATAATAGAGATAACAATGAGGATGATCACAATGCAAGACGTCACCCCAATTATAGTCCCACTGGTATTGGTAAGTTGGTCCAATAGGTTTGCTTTTCTTTTTTCTGTGCAACAGGGAATAAAAAAAAACCAAAAAAGCACAGCATTAATTGCAGTTCAAGAATACAAACAGCTATGATGGGTTCACAGATTACTTCAAGGCTGAGCCTAGTCTATTTCTGAGTTCACTTAATCAATCTCACCAACAAAAAAGAAAAGGGGAAGAAATCAGATATTTGTGAAAGCCAAATAAGCAGCACACAAATCCTTTATGTGTCTATTCTCTTAGAAACTTATTTATTCAGGGTATCTTGCAAGTTTAATTAAACAACATAATTATTTTATTTTTTTGTAAAAAACAACCATCATAACAAGCAGATGGCTTCAGTGTCACCTCTGAACTCCATTTGGCTGCTAAAACCCCCAAGACTTTTACAGATGTTCTCTTCATTATTTTCTCTCTCTTACAGTAAATATATGCAGCTAAGACGTTAGGTCCTATGAAAGAACAAGATTTTACAGGATTTAAGTCTAATATTTGTGAGCTGAGTAGGAGTTTTGGCAGCATTCAATGAAAAAGCTAAATCAGGAGAAAATAGAAAAGTTATTCAAATTTAGATTTCAGAAAGGAAAAAAAAAACAAATTTGTGCAAGTTATTTCTGTTCCCCCCCCCCATTAGTTACCAGAACCTTTCTAAACAGGCATAAAAATCCAAAAGCTGATCATACCTACTACCCTTTGCTCAGAAGCCTCTAATAAGTTAGTCAGCAAATTCTGCGTTGTGAATAAGGCAAAAAATGCAGTAAAATAATAAAACAAAACCAGCTTCCCCTCCTCTTGTGCATCTTTCTCTGTGATTGGCTTTCACAAGGCTGCAGGCACAAGATGGTGACTGAGTCTTGTAGAAATTCAAGTTGAAAGTGTTTGCATCAGTTTCTCTGGGGCATAGCAAGACAATTGTGGTTAAGTTTCAACACCTAGTTTAGTGTAATTTTTCCTGGCAACCCAGGACATATAAAAGGAATTAAGAAAAAGCCTTTGAAATGGAAATTATTGGCACCAAAACAGCAGCATTCATCTCTTCAAAATCTCCTAGTTACCAAAACTTAAGTCTTCAGTAGATCATTGTCTAAGCTTGCAGATTCACTCAGTGTTTCTCTAATTGACTAACACAGACTCTGGAGAAAAAGCAGAGTTAGGAAAAGCAACACTGCAGCAAACAACATTTTTGCTGGAATCAGCAAACCTCCTTTCTGTAGTCAGAAAAACAAGAGAGGATAAATGCACAAGACCTGATAAAAGATACTTGACAAAGGAAAGATAAAAATCATTCTGGAAATTGAAGTGATGAAGGTTTTCTGTTTTCCTCTATTGTGAAGAACTAGAGAATGAATAATAATTTCCCAATTGTCTGTTTAGTTTCTTTGAAGAATATAATGCTATGCCACAGTTTAGCTGTGTTCTTTTGAAGTGTATGTTTTCATTTGTGTTTTACCCTATTTCACTGCTTGTCAGGATTCTACAGGCTTCAGTAGATTTATGGGCTGACTGCTAATCCACTTCATTCTGAATTTTTTCCTTGATTGGTTCCTAAATTTGGCATATCCCATGCTTTCAGGAACAAATCTGCAGTAGGGAGGAGACAGGGGGATACAAGACAGAAGTTAACTCTCTCCCTAGCCTGCAATGTAAGTTTGCTAAGCTCTTTTCCCTGAAGACAACACAGATGCTGTTTTGGGGCTTGTTTGTGTGGTTTTTGTAACAGAACCACAGAAATCATGGATAGGAACATCACTCCCTGCCTATGAAATAAAAATTACATCTGATTCCCAGATGTAGTATTTACAAGCTTGTTCCTTGCACTTCAATTTCACAAGATTATAGGTAGATTTGGTTGCTTTCTTACAGTGTTAATTTCACCTTCCTTTATAAGACTGCTATTATGGGCATAGCATGCAGCTAAAAGACACCTGCTACTCCTATATTACTTCACTACAAAGGCAACTATGGCAAAGGAACCAAAATATTACATTTAATTATACTTTAGGTTGTATGGAAAACAGAGACCAAGTGATCAGAAAGCCTCCTGGAAGTGCATAAACAGACAGCAGGACATAACCAATGCAACATCAGAGAAAAAAAAATGAAAACACTGAAAGTAAAATCCACTGGCATTTTTTACCTTCCTTCATTTTCTCTATTGCTTAATGTATGGTCTCTCTGAATTACTCTTCTGAGCTTTCACCCATTTGGCACATACTTAACAAGAAACTGAAGATTATATGCTGTATCTCATGCAGTGCAAATGACAACTTTTTCAATTCTACATGTTACCTTTGCAGTGGTTTTCATCCCAGGGATACACACAGTTCTGGAGTCCATTGCAGACCAGTGTATTATTTATACACATATTACTGTGGCAAAAGAATGTGTTGGCTTCACAAGGGGCTAAAAATGAGAAAAATGACAATGGATATTAAATTAGCAAACCATTCAGCTCTCCTCCACAAACACATCTAGGAGTGGACATGTATTCTATAATAGGACAACACTATACAACATATATTCCTTGTGCTTACTAAATATGTGACATGCAACATGGAGAGCAGTCAAGCCATAAACTCTTTTATTATTCTGTGGCAGGAAGTTCTCAGTTTTGCCTAAAATGACTGAATCTTCCCCTAGTATGACTCTCTTGGATGTAGCAGGTTGGATTCTAAACATTGTTGGGAAGTCATCGATGTGTTATCAACAGTTTAACCACAGATCCAAAACATATCACCCTATGGGCTGCTATGAAAAGAGTTAACTGTAACCCAGACTGATCCAATGAGTGACAGATAACATCTTCTAAAGTTTTTGCTGAAACCTCAATTTTATAAGAAAACTTCTGTGACTCAAAGAAGGTATGTACTTGACGGCACATATCAAGGGTGTCTGACCAGCTATACACAGAGAAATAAAATTATTTTAAAAACCTTTTAGTCATAAAAAAGGCTACAAGAAGCACCCTTTTGATCACAAGTATGAAGAAGAAGCACAACAGTCTTCAGTGCCCCTGAAGCCCATGACCCGGAAGAATCATGCAGATTAAAGTTGCAGGAAAATGGTTTTACTGATGGCTCTGTTTTAATTCTATGAAGAAATTCCCGGAAAACCTTTGGAAGGTACTGAAGATGCTGCTAAACTGTGGTGTTTATGGAAGTATTGGGAGATCATTAGGTGTTGGGGCTGAGAAGCTATTGCTCCAAAAGTACATAATATAGTAGAGATAAATTACTCCTCATATCTCTTCTTTAAAAGAGAAAGACTTCTGTAACTTAGAAGAGCTACAAACTTTGTCAGTGTTAAATTGTCAAAAATTAACTCCTTATGTATTTATTTTTATTTCAAGCAACCCAAAAGTGTTATTATAATTACTTTTAAGGGAGAGATAAATAATAAACTAAGACCCCTAGCTAATCAGAAAGCAGTTATGATGCTCCTATTACAGTATTACTGATACTTCGAGCTTGATACTTCATGGAAATTGTTCTCCTCTGCAACTTTAGAAGCAGTTCCTATGACAACATAAATGCATAGCAGAGAGAATGGTTTAGTGGCTTGCAAAAGAAGGACAATACAAAGTATTTGTATGACTCAATAGATCATGTCAATAAATCTACTTACCAATAAGTGTTTAAGTTAAGATATCCATAACTGGCATATTTGGAGCAGTTATGGTGTGTTAAGCAAAGAATAAATGCCATAAAAAATCAAAAAGCACTCCCCAAATATGTAACCACTCACTCAGATAAAACACTAGATATACAATCTATCTCTTAGCCAGAAGACATCAAGCAGCCTGTCCACTGTTCAATTTTTGTTTTTAAATCTGGGATACCATCTCTTGAAGTGCAAGGAGTCTGGTCAATTTTAAGTTTGTTACAGAAAGGATTCTACTTTATGCTGGGCAGATCAGAAGAGCACATGTGATATTAGAAAGGGAGGATATTTAGGGTCAGTCCTTATCTATCTGTTGCTGTCATTTGGGGACAATGAAGGCTGAGCCTGGAGGATGCTGTGCCACATCCTGATGTGACACATCACGTAGATAACACATCAAAGGCATAATCGTCCTTTCATGCTCTGGCTACAATCCCTGTTACCAGGCAAGGTGAGGATCTTTTAGGATGTTTCCCACATGCAGGAACAGTCTCACTGCCTACTCTGAGTAAAAAGAAGTGAGAAACCTAAGAAGATCTAAAGAGGCATCCATTCAAAATACAAAGTATATCCAAAAAAAGACTCAAATATCAATCAGAGAAACTTCACAAAGTGGCACAGGAAAAATGGGGAAATATTAAAAACCAAAAGCAAACAAACAATCATTTGCAGGATTAATATAGGTTATACGATGAAGCCCACAAAAAAAAAAAAAAAAAAAAACCAAACAACCAAACAAACACAAAAAACCCCAACCAAAATGCCAAAAAACATTCCAAGTGGAATGAAGGATCTTAGAAGTTAAGTCAGAAGGATAGAGTGTTGTCTGAATTCAGAGGTATAGTGGTGATAAGTAGAAAAGAAGAACTAAGAGAAGGCAGCAAGGAAGTGAAAATAAGACAAAGAAAGAGAGGCATCTACAGGGAAAAAAAACAATGTCAAATAGTTATTTCATTCTGCACTAAAAAAATAGTGAGATTTTCTATCAAATGAAAAAAAAATTAGAAAAAAATCATAGATGAGAGAAAAATAAAGAGCAATAAAAAAGAACATTTTTCAGATTTAAGAAGGAATAATTCTGCAAAAAGGTGACAGGGACATCTGGAGACGAAAAACAAGAGAAAGGAGGAAAAAAGAATGGAAATTTAAGTTTTCTTAAATTGTGCTATTGAATGGTGGAGGAAAAAAATGGTATGTGAATAAATGTCAAAAGAAGATGAATATTGAAGCAAAGCAATTTCAGAACACTACAGCAAACTTAGCATGAGAGAAACTCAAAGGTAAGATTCAGAAAACTAATGACAAACAGCCCCCCCTTGTTCATGTTTGGAAAATTAAAATTGCCAGGTTCTCTCTGTGGTCCCGTGAACACAGAGTGATTAAACTGGACAAGAAGTCAATATGTTTTCCCTATTCTAATTAAGGTATTTTGTTGGAATGAATGAAAGCATAAAGGGTAGCTGAAAACCTGTCAGTCCTGTTATACATTGGAAAAATTTGCTTTCTTGCCCAAAAAAAAGGCTCAGCAAAGGAGTCTTGGGATGCTACATCAAGGACATTCTAGTAATACAAAAAAGATAAATGAACTGATGGAAAACCAGATTTTTTCACAGCAAGATGGATCTGGTCCTGATGCAGTCTTAAAGCTGTTACAGAATCCAGCATGACAGTGGAATCAAGCAGTATGTGACAGCAAGCTTGTAGATGTTTTCACAAAAGGAAACTACTGCTATCATTAACTTCAACTAGATAAAGCAGCACAAACCTCTCCACACACCAGAAGCCGTCCTCCATCACTCCATTGTCTTCCCCATCACTATATAAATGGCCTTTATAAGAGAAGAGAGCAGGAATGCAGAGAGCTCGCCCAGGTGAGGAGCCAAGTGACTTTTTGGTCATGATTAGTGGAAAGCCCAGTGGAAAGTTACCAACTTTGTACTTTGTGTCTGGACTACTCGATGAGGAACAAGCAGTCAATGAAACCTTCAGGCTGCTGGAAGAAGCCTCACAATCACAGGCCCTGGTCCTAATGGGGATTTGAACCACGTGATGTCTGCGGAGGGCAACACAAGCAAGCCAGGAAGTTTCCAGAGTGCACTGATTACTTCCTGACACAGCTAATCACAGAGCTGATGAGGGTAACTCTGCTGTTCCTCATACTTTTATAAATAAGAATCATTTGGGAAGGTGAATGTCAGGAGCACGAGATGATGGAGTTTGGGATGCTTCAAAGAAGGAACAAACCAAAAAGCACAGTCATAATTCTGGGCCTCAGAAGTGCAAAAGTTCGCTGTTGAGGGGTATGGGGGGGACAAATGCCATGGGAGGTGGTCCTGGAAAGATGCAAGTTCAAGGAGAGTTGGTTGATTCTGTAAGATCACCTCCTCCAAGCTCAGCAGTTGAATATCTGGAGTGCCCAAAAATCAGGTGAAGGTTGCAGTTATCCTGCATGAATGGACTATGATCAAATCCATCTAACTTTGACTAAGCTCAGAGTTAGGAAGGATACATATAAGTGGTGGCAGTAGGGCAGCATGATCCCAGCAGAAATATGACTTCTCTGAGTGGAAGGAGCTAAGGTTAAGGAAGGTTCAATCAACTGGGCAGACATGAACTCCTGGGTCCTTATATGGTGCCCCCAGTAGGTGACTCACATTGCTGAGAAGCCACTCTTGGCTATCTCTGAAAAGTCCTGCTGACTGAAACCCCAATGGGCTGGGTAAACTGGATCTTCAAGCCGATTAACAAAGGGAAATGTAAAGTCCTGTGCCTTGGGAGGAATGATTTCATACCCCAGTATGTGCTGGGGACTGACCGACTAGAAAGCAAGCTTGCAGAAAAGGTTCTGGTATGCAATAAGGTCACCTTGAAAATCACCTTGAGCCAGCAATGTGCCCTTGTGGCCAAGAAGGCCACCACCATCCTGGGGTACATTAAAAGCAGAATTGTCAGCAGGCTGAGAGGTTTGATGCTTCCCTTCTATTTAGCACTGGAGAGACAACGTCTGCAGTGTTGTGTCAGCTTCTGGGCTCCTCTGCACACAAGGGACAGAGATGCCTGCAGGGAGCCCAGCAAGAGGCCATGAAGGCCTTTAAAGGCTTGAGATATTGAGGTGCGAGGAGAGGCTGAGAAAGCTGGGACTGTTTTGAGCTCTTGTCAATGCATCCAAACACCCGCTGGGAGGGAGTGAAGAACACAGAGCCAGACTCTTCTCAGCAATGCCCAGCGACAAGACAGAAAGCAGTGAGCACTAAAGGAAATTTAGAAAATTCCCTTTAAATGCAAGAACTAACTTTTACTTTGAGGCTGGTCAAACACTGTGCAATAGCTGGTTTGCCCAGTGAGGTTGTGGTGTTTCCATCACTAAAGATATTCAAAACCCAGCTGGGCACAGCCCTGAGCCACCTGCTGTAGATGACCCTGCTTAGAGCAAAAGGATTGGACTAGACCATATCCCTTCCATCCCTTTCATGGCTCTTAAAAAAGCCCTGACTTTATATTAAGATTAACATACAATTGTATTATTTCTCCTGTGTCTCAAAGCTGCCTTGAGTCAAGATCTACCAAGGTACTGGCCTAGAAGTGAGATAGCATATTCAGCACAATGAATAATTCATTATAACGATAACACAACTGAGAAAATTAGAACTACACATATAATTCAACCTGGTATATTTTGATAAAGTCTCTAATAAATTATTTGGTTTTTACAGGACTAAAATACTATATTCTAAATTAAATCA